ATATATATATATATATATATATATATATATAAATATATATATATATGGCATATATACATACATATATACATCTATATATACTGTATATACACACACACATACATACATGCAGTATATATAACATTCATGAATTTGTGTGTACATTTGTTAATTTTTTTCATTGACAATAATTTTTTTGTATTTCCAGACTTACCATTAAATAATAAAATGGCCTAAACACATTAGTTAAGCAAAAAACAAACAAAAAAAAACTTTTCTCTGTTTCTTTTCACTCACACAGCTGGACTTTGACTTCTCCACACACTGATCTGAAGGTGTGATTTCATGTTAGAGTTCTGGCTGATGATGGAGGCCTCTGAGCTGAGCCCAGCTGCCCTGCACATCTGTTTGTCAGCCACTGAAGGTTCTGCACAGAGTTCCTGGAAATCAAAAGGGGAGGAGAAATGAAAGTGAAAGACATTCAGAGGCCATTTTCTCTCAGCAGGACAGAGAACAGAACCAGCAGCTGGACCGGGGTGAGTTTTCGTTCTGCTGTCAGAACCTCTGTGGGTTTTCTCTCTGTGGGCTGAAGAGGAAGAATTCAACTCACCCTACGGAACTGACTAACCACATTATCAACAAGGCAGCTGCTTTTCGTCTCTCACCGTGTGTCCTGCTTCCTGTTTGCCAACACGACTAAATGTGTCTCTGTTTCTCTGTAGGGTCAGAGGAGAACCGAGCTTTAACCAGCAGAACAAATATTTACACTTTAAACCGTGTTTTACTGGTTCTTCTCCGGTCAAACTTCTTCAGAAACCAGTTTCTTTGAGACGCCCCAGCATGCTCGTCCCCTGAGACACAGTGTCAGGTTTCAGCTTGCAGGAATGAACTGAACCCTTCATTTGAGCTGCACGAACCTCCGTACGGCCCTGAGAAGAACGTCAGGATTCTGATAGACTCAGCTGGTCTGAAGCTGAACCTTTTCCATAAAAAATGATCTAAAGCAGCTGATGATCCATCTAACGAGCATTTGTAATGATCAAACAAAAACACTGGTTAGTAAATTATCCACAAGCTACTTTTATTTGTCTGATGTAACACCATTTTACTCTTCTTTAATTCCAAAACTTCATAATCAGTAGGAAACAACTTAGATGAGAAATGAACCGTCTCAGTGAATAAACTCACAGAAAATAATTTATTTACACTAGTACAGAGGTCTGCAGCCTCTTCTATCAGCTGCTTCTAAATAAATGCATCCAGCACCACAAACCTGCTAAAACTATCAACAGGTGGCCCATGGGCCACGTCAAGTTTGGTGGAAGAGCTTTTTCATTTGATTTAACTAAAATTATATAATGCATTATAACCTTTATTGATATTTTTAAATTTTAGGACAAACAAAAAGACCATATTTATGTAGAGAAGGTAAACACAAAGTTTACAAATTTTGCTAAATAAATAAATAAATAAAACACTGAGCTCTGTAGTTCAATGTGAGTCCTTGTTTTATTTGTGGAAACAATAATTCGGTATCCCACTTTGAATTAATAAAGCATGAATTTAAAGTGTGCATAAAAACTTAGGTCATTTTGTTGGTTATGTAACTGTGACTGGAGCGCTGTCATCGTCCGTCATCATTATTATCATCATGCTGCTAACAGAACCATGCTGCTAACTGGACCATGCTGCTCACAGAACCATGCTGCTAACAGAACCATGCTGCTAACAGAACCATGCTGCTCACAGAACCATGCTGCTAACAGAACCATGCTGCTAACAGAACCATGCTGCTAATGGGACCATGCTGCTAACAGTACCATGCTGCTAACAGAACCATGCTGCTAACAGTACCATGCTGCTAACAGAACCATGCTGCTAACAGAACCATGCTGCTAACAGTACCATGCTGCTAACTTGACCATGTTGCTAAGAGAAACTCACTGCTAACAGAACCACCCTGCTAATAGGACCATACTGCTAACAGAAGCACACTGCTAATAGAACCATTCTGCTAATAGAACCATTCTGCTAATAGAACCATTCTGCTAATAGAACCATTCTGCTAATAGAATCATGCTTTTAACAGTACCATGCTGTTACCAGGCTCATGTTGCTCAGAGAACCTCATCGTTAACAGAACCACCCTGATATTAGGAGTATGCAGCTAACAGGACCACACTGCTAACAGAAGCCTACTGCTAACAGAAGCACACTGCTAACAGAAGCACACTGCTAACAGTACCATGCTGCTAACAGAAGCACACTGCTAACAGTACCATGCTGCTAACAGAAGCACACTGCTAACAGTACCATGCTGCTAACGGGCCCATGTTGCTAGAGAACCTCACTGCTATCAGAACCACTCTGCCAATAGGACCATGCTGCTGTGAATGTAATTTCATTTTCACTTTTGTCACCTTGATTCTGTATTTTTGTTGCATGCTTTGAATAAATCCCAGTTTATGTTAGTTTTGGGGCTCCGAGCCAGACTCCGCTCCATTAGCGTGTAAATTATAGCCGAACAGAACCTATGAGGATCGTGCTGCTGTTGTTCGGTGTATTGTTTTACACTATTAGTGACTATAGTGCATATCTTAGATCTTTTAGCATACCATTGGGCGTTCATTTAGCGTATATATTAGTTTATATCTTAGATGCTTATTTATTGTTTCTTTTTACACTTTATATTTTTGCTTTTGTTGGATGTAACTGGGACCATGTGTACACAATTTTGTTCCACCTCATGTACCACATGCGATGCGAATGAATATAAAAACCTTGAATCCTTGAATCCTCAAGAAAGCTGCAGGAAACTGACAGGACCAGAACCACATGGAAACTAACTGGTTTCTCTCTCAGACTGACTGAAGAGCAGAAGATGGATGCTGGAGTGGAGGACGAGGAAGAAAAGGCAGACACCACAGGACTCATGAAGTGTGACAGGTCCAGAGGAAGTCCTTCAGGTTTCAGTGGGGAACCTGGACCCACCAACATAAAGTAAGAAAACTGAACTTAACACAAAATGACCTACAGTAGGTCCAAACAGATTGAACAGAACTAAATGTTGCTGTGATGCACACGGCATGTTTGTTTCAGAGGTCACAACCACAAACCGAGAGCAGAACCTCCAGGCCCCAGCTGTCTGCCCCCGCCCAGTGACCACTCCATAGAAGAACCTCTCAACTTCAGTAAAGAACCCGGACCCTCAGACCCAAAGTAGGACAACCATTTCTGGTTCATGTGTCTTCTCAAAGGATTTAGTTTAGACGTTTGGTTCAAAACTGGTGGATTTATGTAGTAGAGCTAATTAATTTACACTCACAACAATACAGCTGTGGCATCAACAGATGAAAAACGATTGTTTTAAAGTTGATTGGATCTGGAACTGTTCATTTGCATTACACGCTGCCTGCAGTCGTGGGTTTAGGCTGCACAGAGCAGCACAAACCTCATCGTTTACTCATGTAGACCGTAGACTGAGTTTTCTTTAAAGGTGAAGTCTTTTATATATTATTATATATATTCTTATATATATATTTTTAGATGCAAGGAGCTCTGCCTGCTGCTAGCTGGGGACCGCCTAGAAAGGCAGCATTATTATCCACCGAGAAAGGGTCTTGCTCTTCCTTCACTTTTAATGCAGCCTCAACCTCAATACCCCCAAAGTTTTATATCAAAACTACCTGCTTGGCATCGTGATATATGCTATTAATTTTATTGGCATTTCAAGTTACCATGGCAACATAATTAACAAACAAAAACACAATTTTTTCTCATTGAAAACACTGACAGAACTCTTAAAAGCGACTAACTGCCACAGTGAGGTCACATGACCTAAAGGAGAGAGGTCCCTGAACAAAATTAATTAAATTTTGGAGCCATTTTGGTTCAAGATGGCTGCCACAGCTACTTCAGAAACTCAAAATTGACTATTACTCAGTCATTCTTTGAGTTCTTGAGCTGAAATTTGGTTTGGTTGCAGCTGAGAGTGATTTGTTATACATTCCTGATGCAAATCGAAAATCCAAGATGGCCGCCTTAGCTAAAAGGGAAAAATTACTCAGCTATTTTAAGAAGTACTGAGCTGAAAGTTGTTTGGTGGAACCTGACAGCGATGCACAACATGTTCTGAATTCAAATCTAAAAATGCAAGATGGTAAGCTAATTTCAAATGGCTATAAATCAGACATTTTTAGAGCTAATTAGCTGAAATTTGGTGTCTTGGCAGCTGAGAACAATCTCTAATTCTCTGATTGCAAATCAAAAATCCATGATGGCCACCTGCACTATAAATAAAAAAAATACTACAACTCAGCCATTTAAATATACAGGTCCTTCTCAAAAAATTAGCATATTGTGATAAAGGTCATTATTTTCCATAATGTAATGATAAAAATGAAACTTTCATATATTTCAGATTCATTGCACACCAACTGAAATATTTCAGGTCTTTAATTGTTTTAATACTGATGATTATGGCATACAGCTCATGAAAAC